CTTGAGACTGCTGACTTGTAACAGGCTGCACTTGCTGCTTGCCACTTAATGTGTCAGCTCTGTAGACCTTAAAAAGTGTTTTTTAGCTGATGAAGCTTTTTTTCCTGTGTCACTTTTATCTTTCCTCTCCCTCCTGTCCTTCAGTTCAGGATTCAAAAACTGCAGATGCTCTAAACTAGGCATGACTCACACTTTCTAGTTTATTTTGTGAATTAACCAGCACGTGATGCTGAGGGGAAAATGTTGGGAGTGGAGGGGGTGGGGAGCAAGAGATGTTTTTAAGATCCAAAAGGGAATGCTTGGAGCATGCATGTGTGATTCCTGGATCACTTAACTAGATGTCCCAGAGCATGGCATATGAGCCACGTGAACCAAGGGGGCCCTTGGGGCCTTCAGCGGATGTCAAAACAGTCTAATACTTCAGGCAGAAGTAGAGAGTGTGTTTTGCTGTAAGCCTTGTTTGAGAAGCCAGTGGGCTTTGACCTCTTGTAGAGACAGTTCACGTTCATGCCACCCATTACTGGATGTTACCTGCCTCTTTGTCACACACATAAGCATCGCTAGCACCACCTGAGGCTGTCTCTGCTCCTGTGTTGTGGTTACCTCACTTTCTTTGAAGCAGTTTGGTGTTAGAAATGCTGAGCCCGGGAGCTGGAGAAAGCTAGCGAAGCAGATGACAGAATATAAAAAGATTATTTAGTGAAATTTTTCCAATTTGTTGTACCTAGAGACAATCTTACCTTGGCCATAGAGGCTGGGCTTGCAACTGTGCTTGCAAGAGCCTCAGATGCGCTGATGCTAAGAAAGGCGTATTTTCAGGGTGAACTCCTCCCAGTGGAGAAAACGTGTGCTTGGAGCTTGCAGAAAGTCTCTTCAGGATCACTCTTTTATGCCACTGCATGAATTTTGCAGCCCAAAGGATAATGCTTCCAGACATGCTTCTGCCCTCATCCTTCTCTGCTGGCACCTCTCTGGCTGTAGCACTGGCTGGAATTCCTGGGCTGGCATTTCTTTTATTGACAGCTGTGCTAGAAGTGCATATTCCTGGCCTGCTCCCTGCTGTGCCAAGGCAGATTGGCTTAATCAGACTATAGTAAACCTGTTGTTATGTTTCACGCTTCACTGGACTTGCCAATTGTAGCTGCTCAGATGGCACCCCTGCTGCTTGTTTGACTGACTGATGGCTCTCAGCCAGGGCCCAGGAATGGGGAGTCAAGTTAATTCACAGCAGTGAATGTAATGTTAATCTTACCTTTCACTTTTTAGGTATACAGTTAGGAAATAAGAGAGAGATTTCTTTTCGCTTAAAGGTGAAGCTTCTTGGAGAGGAGGAATTACGAGTCTCTGAGTTGTCATTGAGCCACCCTATTTCTCAGCACTAACCCAGTGCACACAGTACCTCATAATGAGTGTGCTGGGGCCACACTGAGACTGGGCAGGGTTTGAAGACTAGCACTGATGAAGCTTCATTTCAGACCATACTTGGCTGGTCCGCATCTCAAATTATTTCATAATTGCCTCATTGTTGGATACATATGTTCAAGGATGGAGGGTAGGTTTCCTTGGCCTTGCTTGCAGCTGTGATCATGCTTGTGTCATGGGTCCTGGGTTTATTTTTGAAGGAATACTCTGCACTTGCCATCACCCCAAAATTGCTAGGGAGTTGCAGGTGTCCCCATCTCTTGCCACCTGGCTATCTGACAGCGCTTCGCTGTATTTGTAATGGGATATTCTCATCTTCCTTTGCACGTTGTTCTCAGGCTGATGAGACTTGGGAATAATGTGCTCTGATGAGCTGGAGGCAGCCAGCCCAGCCAAGTTTCTGACAGTGACAAAAGGTCTTCTTGTGCTGTCTGCCCTGCCAGCAGCTTCAGCAGCACAAAGCAAGGGCTGTGTGCTCAAGCCATCCGTTTGTGGGTTTGTAAGAGCAGTTTAATGGGAGTGTACATGCAGCCAAGTGGCTTCTTCAGCAGTGCATGAATGAATCCAAATGTGTGAACAAACCCTGGGCTTGCTGCTGCCCCACCAGCCTGCGCCATGCTGAGTCCTCTGTGAGATGGGGGCACCATGGAAGCCCAGACATTTAGGAGCTTCCAACATCCATGCTGTTAATAACAATCCAGCTTCCCTCTCTCTGCACTGGATCTTGGTGGGATAATCATCACTGTTTTAAGACCAAGCCCTGATATTCGTGTCTAGGCTTTTCAACTTGGTAGCTCATCCTGGGGCATTGTCTCCACTTGCTTTTGTCCCTCTGTGCAGAGACAGGGCGGGTGGAAGTTTGGGGCCTAAGGCCTGGGTGCTGTGTGGCCATGTTAAAGGTAGTGCTGGATCTGAACTAGGCTATTTTGTGTCCTGAGCTAGGAAGTGCAGGTGGTGGTACCCTGGGCTATATCTGCTTCCTGGACCAGGCAGTGAGCTCTGGGAGGTGGCACACACCAGTCCTGAAGAGCCAAAGAAACTCAGCTCTTGGTTCCTGCTTTATGTCTCTGGAATCCAGCAGCTTTCAGTTGTGGCCTGTAGGAAGAGAGGACCAGAGGAGTTTGTTTTGTTTTCTTTATTTTTGGTTGCTTGTTTAACTTTGGAGACCTATGGATTATGAACAGATCTCTGGAGGAGCAGCTAGAACAACATGAAAATATATGCACTTGGCCTTTTGAGTCCGTGCTTTCTTTAGAAAGTTTTTAGTGGCCCGTCAATCCAAAAGGGTTAAACAATCATTGCTATATTGTAGGAATGAAGCTCACTGGAGGACATGAGACTTTTGGGGGGTTGGTGCAAGACTGTCAAGAACAGCAGTGTTCTGCTGCGGCCCTCCTACTTTCTTGCCTGTATGCCAAGCGTGTTTCTGTCAATGTATTATTTCACTAACAAACACAAAACTGTGTCTGGGTGTGGGTAGAATGGAGTAAAAAACCCTGAAGTCCTCCTCTGTGCGTGTGCCTCTCTGGGGAGGATGGAGCAAAGCTCTGCCAGCATCATCGGCACTGACCAACAAGGCAGAGTTCTTGAATACCACGGGTATCAGAGCAGTGTATGAGCCCGTGCAGAAAGGAGTTGGGAAGGGCAGGGATGCAGTTCCACAAACATTTCTTGCAGCAGTGATTTTAATGCAAAAATTATGCAGCTCTGAAAAGTTCCCCCTTGTTCCTCTGCTGCCTGCTTTGTCTTACTAGTACAACTGTTCAGGTAGATGTTCAGTGGACTTGTTCAGAGACCTATTGTAGTTAAAAATAACACTTCCTCCACCCACTTTTTTTTTGTAACTGTCAGGAGCAAGTTCTGCTTCTTGAATATGTGGTAGTAAAATCTCAGCCCTAGATTTAGACAGACTGTGGCTTTGTACTGAGGTGTCTTTGCTTAGCTCTGAACTGATAGCAGGGCTTAAACCTCCAAGTTGGATATCCCTTTCTGGCAGGCCAGATAATGGTTGTTGTAAGCAGAAGGTGGTTGTTCCACGATTGTACTATGTAGCTGAAGTAGTATTAGGGACCACAGAAATAAAGTCTCTATGGGCAAGATCGCCTTGCCTTATCCCATAAAAAAATGTGTTCATGATCACCAAGTGCACTGGGTATGTCACCTGTAAATAGCATTGCTGCCTGCAACTCAGCTGTGGCTTTCCCAGATCTATGGCTGACGGCATCATTTCTTTTTTTATATATATATGCCCACTGGAAGTGTTTCAGTGCTATTTAGTGTTTTGTATCCTCTTTCCTTTTTTAAAAGAAGTTGCAGTAAAAAAACCCAAACAAACAAAATGCAACAAAATCTTAATTGCACCATCCAGAATTGTATGTGCTTAAAGCAAGTCACCATAGTCTTTGTCCTCATCTCCACCCTGCTGCTTGTCATTCTCCTTCCCTGACACACTGTTTTAGCCGTTTGGAACTTTTGTCATCTCTAAACCAGAAAGACTTGGCCAAAAATTCTATTGAAAATGCTTTAGTTTTTATCATATATCTGACCTCTTAGTGTGTACACAACTTGAAACTCTTCTAGATATTTTGTGAAGATACCTGGGTGCAGAGGAACATCTCGATCCTTTTCCAGCAGAGCATGTGCATCAATGCAAGTAGAGGGAAGGCTCGTCAGACTGTGGCTTGGGAAGATGCAGCTACCTTCTTGTTTCCTTGTATTTTCCACCCTTTGCAGTGATGGAGATCTTTTATCTTCTCTGAATCCTTTTCATAAAGGGATTCCTCATAAATTCCCTGTGTAGTTTTGATATGTTCTGGGGGAGTTTGGGTTCATTTTCACATTCTCTTCTAGGTTGTCACTGTGCTGCTAAAGAGAAACCGTAGCCTTTCCTGGAGGTTTTTCCTGTGGAGCACAGTGGCAGTGGTTCATGCCTCCCTCTGCAGTGTCAGAGGTACCTTGTAGTTCTCTGCTTTGTGCCATATGTTTCAGATGGGACATACTCCCCTCTTAGGTCATGTTGGGCGGCTTAGCTTATCACATTGAGGGAAACACAAGTGACAGACCTCTCCAGTGTAAATTTTTCAGTGGATCTGTCTTAAACTCTCCTTGAAGCAGACAGGAGCCCTGTGTATGGCTGATGTGCGGAGCGGGGCCTCATCCTGCAGTCTGGGGGCACAGGGCACAATTTGACCTTGGTTCACTGAGTAGCTCATGTGCACCTAACCGCCAAAAGGCTGAACCAGGTGCTGTGTGTGTCCTCCTGTCCCAGTGTCTACGTGACTTGTGTTTCGTTGACCTGCTGCCTATCATAACAAGTTAAAAATAAGTACTGGTGTTTTTCTACAGTGTGGGTAGAGCATTCCTTTGAAAGTTCAAATGTGAAAGTGATAGGCATTGGCAAAAATCTGCTGCTTTCAGGCTGGTGCTGAAGAGAGCTCATCACCTTCCCATTTAACTTGCTTCCGGGTTGTTTTCAGCATCTTTTAAGAAGCTGTGCTTATCCCTGCTGGTAATATTGTGGTTGATCCCATGTCTGGGTTCTAGGTACAAATCCAGTATCTGCACTTAAAAAAAAGTCAATGAAGCTTACAAAAATCAACTGTAAAATGATGCCTGAGTGGGTAGAAATGCCTTGCAGCGAGAGCCATGCAGCTCAGTCTGCTCCACTTCGGACAGGTGACAGTGTGCGTGTACCTTTGTGCAGAGAATATACTATTCTCAGACTCTTAACATGGCAAAGAAAGTCATAGTAAGCACAAACCCTTGCTTTTGCGTTTAGTTGAACAGAGTCAGTGTGGGCATCGGTATAAGTCTGTGTGGAGTACACGGGTTTTTAATCCAGGCAATTCTGGTCTTAAACTAAAGAAGTGGAGGTGGAGGGAAGAGTAGAGAAGGCTTTTTATGCAAACAGGGATGAAGAAGTAAACGCATGCAAAAATAGCTACAAGGAGAGGGAAAACAGGCCAAGTCCAGACCTTGGCTGGTAGAAAGTATGTTAGGAGTCCCTGTGTATGTGTGCTCCCCTGACCCCCATAGCTCTTTTGATGCTTTCTTTTTTTTGGTACTTATTCTGATTTTCTTGGCTTTGTTTCCCTATCTAGTGTGTCGAGACTTTGCTATTTTGGAAGATCATACTTTGGCCCACAACTTACAGGAGCAGGAGAGTAAGTACCCATGATCTTTGGAATATTTTTCCCAACAGATATGTCTTTGGTTTTGCTAAGAAAATCCTCCTTGCTTTTATTTCATTTTTTGCTAAGAAAAACCTTCCTTGCTTTGATTTCATTTTTGTTCTTTTTAATGGAATATTATTACTGTCTTCAATGTCCCGTAACGCTATTCTGTGTTGTGCCCCAGCTCATGTTGTACCCTAGAGATACAACCTCAAGTTGTATCTAGAGTTACATTTTATGTTTTAATTTTGTGCTCTCTTTTTAGATTTGAGTTTGTTTATACTGTTCATCGTAAAAATGCATGTAGGAGTGCACTTGAAGTTTTGTTGCTGTGCACGGTTTTTAGAAATTACTAGCAGTTTTGGAATCTTCAAGTTTTGTAGGCTGACCTGAGGTGCAACCAGAAAAGATCTGGTTATGTACTTATTTTACAATTGCTAGTGCCTGCCTTTTGAAAGGAGGCTTCCTCTTAAGACACTTTGAGGTAGGGCAGCTGTACACTACCAGGGTTTAAAAAGGAAGAAAAAAAGTACAGCCAGGAAGTTCAAAGTGGCTGGTGATTTTTATTTATTTTCTTCGTTTGACATGCTTATCTGTTACTTTGGGTATGTTTGCATTGCAGCTCGGGTGTGGTGGCCTCTAATCTTCTTTGCTGGGTGCCAAGACCATTGGTATCTACCATTCCTAGGTGCTAACACCATTCCAGCTACTCTGCCAAGTGTGTAGCTTGCACTGAAGTTCTGCCCTTGCTGCTGGAACCTGAGACCACTGAAGTAAAGATGGCTCTCAGCTGCAGCTCACGTAGCCATCTTTTCTTGCAGGCAGTATCCATGTATGGTAAAGGACTCGCTATAGTACTCAGTTGCTCTGTTGCTAAATATAAAGGTAGTGAGATTCTGGGACCAATTATGTTGAGAGTAAGAAGAGTTTCCTCCTCCAGAGGTTCTTGAGAACAAATTACCAAAACATCCATCAGAAGTGGTTTAGGTTCAGCTCACCCTCACTGTCCTCTGCTGGTCCCTTCCAGCCATAATTTATTAATCTAGGGTAATTTCCCATGGCCAGAAAATGAGATTCAAAGCCTAAAAAAGCATTCCCTATAAACCTGGATGTGCTTAAGATATGCAGATCTTGTTTTGGTAACACACATATACAGCCCCCTCACTGCTGAAATGAGGCAATCTCAAGCTGCTAGCGTAGTTTCAGTTCAGGACTTCCCCACCTTTAGACATACTACATGTTTCCCTGACAAGAACTGTCTTCCCTTCTGGCCTGGCATCTCCCTCCCACTTGCTTTGTCTCGTTCACATCATGAAGTTCTGCAGGCTGATTTGGGGGTTCTTTTCTGTGTTTATTTCCAGTTGAGCATCACTTGGCAACAAATGTTCAGCGTAATCGTCTCGTGCAACATGACTTGCAGGTGGCCAAGCAACTGCAAGAGGAGGAGGATCTGAAAGCACGTGCTCAAATCCAAAAACATCAAAAAGACTTGTGAGTTTGGGATGGAGCTGCTGAAATGCTAGTCCTGTTTGGTCAGAGCGCTGAAATCAGCTGCTTTGGCTTGAGTTGACTGACAATATGTGGGGTTCCGGTTGATCAGCCTTTTGTTTTCTTTTTCCTTTGGTTATCTATTGCTGTAAAAGTATCGATCCTACTAGGCTCTGGCACACAGTAATGAGAACAGTGGTGGGAGTAAGTGGTCCTGGGGCCAATCCGGGCTTAGTTGCTGTTGCCTGACCATGAGAAGGAGCCTTCCTGTTCTGCTCCCTGTGGCAAATGGGGTAACTTGGCGTCTTGCATCTACCTTGTCCCTGGCTAAAGTCTGAGAAAGAAGAAATAACACCACAGAAATACACAGTGTTACAGTGAATTCTCTGTCTTGTGGAAATTGCAGATATTGGTAGGTTTGCATTGTGCCTCGTGAGTGCTTTTGGGGGGCTTCTCAAAGCTCCTGCTTGCGCTTGCAGATACTCCAGTGTGAAGTGACCTGGGAAGAGAGTCTCCTGTACTAGGGTGTGGAGATGGGTGTTGTGGTACAGGCCTTCTCCTGCAGTCTGACTTGTGCAGCAGCTGTGGGAGGATGTTTAATGAGTGATCCAGTTTGCTTTGCAGGTTTGCTCAGGACCCCCACACCAGATCTGACCCTGTGGCCTGTGATTTGGCTTTGTGTGTACCATGGCTTTTAAGCTGTGGAGCTGGTGTAGAAATGAAACAATGGCAGCGCAGGGTGAAACAAGCTGTACTTTCCAATCCAGAGTGGATGTTGGTGATTTTATTTTTTATTTTTTTGTTTGTTTGTTTTGGCTTTTGGCTTTGGTTTTTTTGTTTGATTTTTGTGTGTGTGTGTGTGTGTGTGTGTGTGTTTGGTGTGTTTTGTTTCCCCCCAGCTTCGTCTGTTGCAACGCAAGAGACAAATGGATTGTGTGACAGGGTTCAGTCAGATCCCAGTGATGAAAGATGGGGCTCCCTGCAAATGCAGGGTCTGCATGGCAGGATGCATCCCCCAGCGGGTGTGCTGCCTCCCGGCTTGTGTCATGCTCTCTGATGCCACCCACCAGCTACAGCTGGGTGGCTCATCTGGCAGAGACAGCGATGGAGTAGAAAAGCTCTGTATTGCAGATGTGTGAGATATAGGACTGGCTTCAAAGGAGCTGTTCATAAAAGATCTGAAGCTGGGGCGTGACAGATCAGCCAGTGTTTTAAATGATCCCAGCATGGTCGGGCCACACTGGGTAGATACATGTGTGTATCTGAAGTCTGTGCTTTCTTTCAAGAGTTTTGTCTTCATTACTAATTAGATATGTGAGCATGTAAGTGACAACATAAAAATTAATTTTGTATGGCAGAGATGATTCCTTTGTGTTACTTGCTGGGAACTGCAAACAATTTTCTTTTTGTTGGACTCTAAAATGGTATTTGTGAACTTTGTGGACCAAGTTACGGGCAGAACTGCTGATGAAAAATATTGTGTCAGCAGCAGTTCTGCTCCTTAAAGCATGAGCTCTTCTGCAAGGATAGTAAAAAAAGTTGGAGGCATCCTTTTGTAATTGGATCTTTTTCTTCCTTAATTCTTTGTACGTTCCCACTGTCGTCTTGTGAAAGATCAGCATGTTCTGGCAACAAAATGATCTTTGCTGCTGTTGCTTTCCAAATCAGCTAGGACAGTTTGACACTGCAAGGTGATCATAGGAGTAAATGGGCAGAACTGGGTGGCCTTTAGAAACAGGGAACATAAAAAAAGCTCTTCAAATTTAAGGGCTTTCTTTTGTCTTTCAAATCCTAGATTCTCTCAGAAAGACTTTGTGAAGATAAATGAAGGAGTAGAAATAACTTTTTAAGAATTCAGGGAAGCATCAAACCTTATTTTCATGCTTCCTTAGAAGCATCTCTCACATCTAGATGAGCAATCTGTATGCTGCCAAGCATAGTAGCAAGGTTGCTAAAATAACTGTTGGAAATACCATGAAAACATACCGTGAAAATATGCTCCTTCCTTGTTTCACTTCCACTGCTGTGTTGGTTCTATTAAACTAATGTGAACAGTTCCTTTAAACAGTTCCCTTAAACCTTTCAATTTTTTTTTTTTTTTTTTTTCTCCTCATATGGCAACAATTAGTTCCTGCAGCCAATGTGAATGGCTTCTAATCACACTGACTTTTTTCCTCTTTTTCCTAAACTGATACAGAGCTTCCCTGACACTGTTAGCACTCCTGTTTGCCCGGAAACAATGGGCATGTACATAGTAGTGATGTCCAGGGATGATGATGTTTACCTTGCTCTGGCCAGTTTATGGGGACTGACGGGCACTTGAACTCACACTAAAAAAACTGAAGGACAAGAAATGCTATCAAAGTTCTTTAACCTATTTTCTTATGCTCAGTCAAGTTGAAGCACTAGCTTATGTTGATTAACTAATCAAGTCTCAGTATTTACCACTGAGAAGTAAGACCCAGAATATGATCCCCTGTTGGTGTTCAGTGATTCTTAGAGATTGATATGGTGTATTCCAAGATTTGTGTCATCAGGAACAAGCAAATGCTTCTGCTTTTGCATTACTTGTAGTATTCTTTGCTGTAAATGAAGAAGCAATGACCTTGATGCCTTGGCTCTGAAAGATGATTAGTTGTTTTTATCTCCTGTTTGTCTGCAATAAGATGTATTTTAAGCATTTAGCAAGTCAGTTGGAGCTGATGAACTTGGCACCTTAGCTCAGTTCACAGGTGTCAGGGAACTGGAGACATGCAGTATGTCTGACCTTTCTAACTGATTTCCTACCTGGATTCGTGTCCTCTGAGACTGGAGTCATAAAAGATTTGCTGTCTTAGGCCCACTGACAGCCTGTTCCCCAGGATTTGCATATTCAGCTAGGGACTGGTTCCCTGCTGGTGCCAGGTTTGCCAAGGTCCCTTTTTATATGGCAGGTTCAAGAACTAGATTTGCTGCTATGTGAGCTTTTGTGCCTTTGAACAGGCCTTTCTTTTGAGTCAAGTGAAATGCATACAGGAACACACACAAAATGCTAGGTTTTATTACCTGGATAAAAGAACATGATGTCTGAAGATATCTGACCTACTGATAATTCCAGCCCTACAAACACTGAAATTCCTGAGTGCCTTTCAGGGTGTCTCTAGGTGTGAGTCAGTTTGTGAATATGCATAGTTGTTTGTGAGTGTGGTGGTCTGGGAAATGGAAGGAAATGTTGTAACGCTGACTTGGGGTTCATACGTGCTTGGGGAAGGGGATATAAATAACATGCAGTACCCAATTGCAGGTCTGCTCCCAAGGAGCAGTTGACAGAAATAAAGAAGCTTCTTTTCTCTCCTGCTGCATGTTCCTTGTTGTTCCTTATGACAGATTAGTTGTCTCATGGTGGCATTTGTCCTCTAAACTCTCTTCTTGTTGCAGTGTCCTTCCTCTGCTCCCTAAGCCACATATTTACTTTATGCTTCTCTCATTCTACTTTCTATAAAAGAAGGCTTTGTGGTGCCACTGACTGCTTCAGCCATTCTACTTTCTCTGTTTTGCTACTGAAAGTGCTTGTCTGCTCTTACTATTTTAATTTCCTACACACCTGTACTAGACTCTCTTCCAGTCCTTTGCCTCCAAGTTCACTAGGTCATTTATGCTGTGATCCTTGCTCAAGCCTAGAACTAGTTGCTCCAGTCCACACAGCACAACTTTGACATAGCTGAATCTGCTTCTTTTGAAATATTTGCTTGAGTTCCATAATATACTCTTGGTAGTCCTCCCGTCACCTATCTGATCATCATCAGTATATTCTCCAAAAGACAGTATACTAATAATGCAAGCTCTGCCTGTTGCTCTTCCCATTCACCACCTCCTTCTATGCCTTCCCTTTCAGTAGCCCCAATTGCAGCAATAGCTTAGACTGATTTTTATGACCTGTTTAGAGCTAGTCTTTGGCTCAGTTTCAACAGCGATGAAAAAGAGAGCTCTTAATCTTTCTTCTCAAATCCCCCAGCCCTTTTCAGGAACCCCTGGCCAGCCTGTTTGCTGGGCATCAGAGCACACAGCTGAGTGTGACACAATTCCTGCAGATGCTTTCTGTATGACATCCCTGAAATATGGCCATTCCAGTCTACCTGCACAGATGAAAGTCTCATTTCGTGTCTCAATTACTGCAGTATCTCTCTGTCCCCAGTTAATGCAATCTTGTGTTCCCACATTTACCCTGGCACTGCGACAATGGCTCTCTGACGCCTCATTTTGACGCACGTCACTCTCTTGCCTCTTGGCACCAGTTCTGCTTTTGTGTCTCATCCCACAGCAGCAGCATTTCTCATTCATTACTGAACAGCCACCTCCAGCCTCCACTTGGCCTATGTTCTGCATTTTACTATCAGCATTTCTGCACTTCGTCCCTCTTGGCTTTCATGTGAAGACCACTTCCCAGAAATGCCTGCATTAACCTTACTCCTAAACCCCTCCTTTGGCACCACATGCACGAAAGCTCTTCAGCAGAATTAGGCTGTTTGCAGACTCCTAGTGCTACCTTGGCCTATCCTGTGGTACCTACTTCCTTTCTTAGGAAACTGGCTATGAATCTGTTTTCTCTTGCTTTATACTCTGTTTGTGAATGTTTTGGGACCCGTTTTCTAAATTTGGCCAGCAGTAAGTACAGGGAGTTCTGGTTCCTGGTAAGGATTCATAGGCTCTGTGCTAACACTAAGCAATAATTCTTCTGTATAAATCAGATGGGTTCGTTAACTCCTTTACCCCTTTTTCCAGGCTGCTGGTGCCTGTGACTTTAGCTGCCTATAATCCTTGTCTCCTTGCCTTCTAGAGAACGACAGGACTGCGAGATTGCTCAGGAAATCCAAGTGAAGCTTGTGTTTGAAGCGGAGCAGCGCCGCAGGCAAGAGGAAAAAGATGAGGTAACCTTTAAAGCTGCAGGGATGGCAGGGCTATTTGTAGCAGCCCTTTCAGTGCAGGTATTTCTTGGTCATTAGCCACAGGAGCTGGCTTGCTTGGTGTCAGGCCTGGTCTTCACAGATCCCTCCATGCACAGAGATTTTGGGGAGTCTTGTTACAGGAATAAGATACAGTCAATCCCCATGCTCAAGGGTCACAAGGGTTGTTGATGCCAGTGGCCTTGCTAGAGAAGAGGGCAACCTATACACAAGAAGACAAGTTCTACTTTTGGGAGAATCCTAGGTCATGATTTCTTTGGTGCTAAGACTTCAGCAGCACCCTCAGCCCAGCCATCCATCTCTGGCTTCTCCATTAACTTACTTCATCTTTACTTTAGTCTTTCACAGTCTGAACACCCTGTTGCAGTTTCTTGGTAATAGATTCCTTTTGTGATTTCAGAATATTACACTGCTGCTGTTGCTTGAGAGTGGGCAATGTGGTTTGTCAATGGATTTGGCTTGATCACCTTATTGTGTCAGCATATCAAATTGGGTATTCAAGAAAGCCAGAGGGTGGAGGAACACCTGTGTGAGCCTGGAGAGTGGCCTCATTTTTATTACAGATAGTTTCCTGAGAAGTCTGAGTAGTCTTAAGATGCTCAAGAGGTACCTGGTAGAATTTTCTCTATAGCAGGAGGTTTAACACAAGGCTGTGTTTCCTGGAAAAGCCTGAAATAAGAATCTGTCCTTACCTGACAGATGCATCAGTTTGCTTGTGCAAGACCTCATTTTCTTCTTATTCCATTAATTCCAAGCAAGTACTGAAAGGCTGCCCAAGCAGATGTGGAAAGGCTTCAAAGAGAAGCTTCAGGTGACAGGGGTCGGAGGAATACTCTGGCTAAGGATTTGTGCTATAAATGTGACAATCTGTCTTACTTTTACCAGGCAGGCAAATGGGGTGCAATACTTCTCATGTTGGCTGTGGGAATTGCATCTTTCCTTCCTGCTTTATGTAGAAAGCTGCTGGCATGTCAGCAGTCTGACAGCAGTTCCCCGCAACTTGTCACACACGAGAGTGTAGTAGCTGCCCAGCGTACACAATAGCTTTCTAGTATCAGTAGAGGCTAGCAGCGTTATGCCAGTGCTGTGCTTGAGGCAGATCCAGTCTGGCCTGCAGGGTTTTTAAATGCAGTGCTAAGCCTTCTTGCTTATAAGTCCAGTTTGTAAGAAGTGGTTTGTGTGGATTTGCAGGTCCTGAGCTGTCTCAGTCCTGGAGATAATGTGCTTAAGCCCATATATTTACAGACCTACTGTACTTGCTAGAAGACATTAACCTTGTCAGGGGAAGGAAATTTTTTTGGGGGGAAAGGGAGGTGTTGGGTTTCTTTTTTATTTTGTTTCTTTTTTTTTTTTTTTAAATTGGGGCAGAGCCTCTGCAGGTTCTCCACAGAAGTGGTCACTGAGCAGATCTGATCTGAATCCTGAAATACTAGTTTGTACTTGAACACCCACTCATTTCTGTCCTCCAGTGCTGGCTTTGCTCTGGAGAGTGTTGATACTCTTAGTTTGCATTTCAGTGATGCCATTCCTGGCTGCAATGTGCACTTTACATGCATGGCTCTGTAAAGGTCCTGGGGATTAGGGAGGCTTAAAGGAATAGCATTCAAAGGGCTAGCATGCCCTCCTGCTGCTAACTTCCAGCTTCTCTTCCTAGCTTCAGACTCACTCCACTGACTTGCAAGCTTCTGTGCCCCAAAAGAGTAAGCCCTAGGGAGCTGTTTGCTGTTGATAGACCTTGTTGATCCATTAGTCATCTCAAAGGAAAACCAATTGAGAAAATGGAGTGCTGTCGTATTTGATGGCACATCTACCAAAACTGTGATAGAAGATAAACGTCTGCAGTTCCTGCAGCAGTCCTGCCTTGTACCTAGCCTGATTCTCCTAATGTCCCTTTCGATTTTCTTTTCCATCAGCCTCTGTCTGTCAAACTGATACATTCCCTGCCTGGCATCCTACAGTCCCTCTAAATTACAGCCAGTTTGAAGCAAGTTCATGACTTGCTCTGGGACCTTATTCCAGTCTGAAATGCCTGGAAGACAGTCTTTGCCTCTCTTTTCCTGGTGTAGTCCAGGCTGAGGTCCAGTGCACTTGTGTGAGCAGGTGTGTGCTTGCTCGACTTCCAAATCCTTGCTGAAAGGCTGAGGTTCACACACAATCCCTTCTGCCATGCTTTGGCCATTAGGGCTTTGCAGGCTTGTGTGCAAGTGGAACAGGAACCTGCAAGTCTGCCACAGTGCTGGAAGCTCAGTTGGTGGACCTGGGTGAGGTTGGATACTGGTTGCTGAGATGGTCCCTTGTCTCAAGTGCTAAGTTGAAAGCTTCATCCAGCCCAGGGGCTGAATTTCAGAGTAAACCTGTTTAATTTTTCAGACAGGATTTTTATAATTGAGCTAAGAATTTGAACAGAAGCATCTGGAAACATTTTTTAGTGGGAAAGGTAATGTCTCTTTCCTTTCATCTCTGCAGGACATTGCCCGTCTTCTACAGCAGAAGGAACTGCAAGAAGAAAAGAAGCGGAAGAAGCACTACACAGAATCCCAGGGGCACACAGGCTATGAAGATAGCTATTATGCAGAAAATGGAGGTATGTTTCTGCTAGATAGAGAATCAAGATCATGGCAGTATAGGTGAACCTGGTGATCTGGCAGCTCCGTTCAGGAGACTTCCCTTATCCTACAGTTCTGCGTTCAGCACTGTAGCATTGCATCAGTTCCCAGGGTCAAGATCACACTTTTATACAAGAATCAAGAAATGTTAAAAAAAAACAAAAAAACAAACCCTAAAAAAATCCCCAAAACAAAACCACCCCAAACAAACCAGAGAAAAAAGCGGAGAAGACAATTTTGTGATTTCTTATGTCCTAGAAGATGGCCTAAAGCACAGGGGTAGGGTGTGCGTATGTGCAAGCACACCCATGCATGCATGTTCTAAAATGGCTTGTGGAAAAAAGGCAGTAGCTGATAAACCCCACAAGCATTACAAGTGGGACCCCACTTGTACAACCCCCATAAGCAGTAGAGAAATGCAGACGCAATTCTGTGCCTTCATTTGAAGAGAAACAGTTTCATGTGCTCATGTGCGATGCTGGCACAACTGCATAAATGAATAAATGCTCATTCATGGATCGCCCTTTCACAAATAATTCCGTGCAGGTATGTATCCAAGCTTTAAAATTAGCACAACTGCTTTGAATGACTTACTGAATAACAAGGTCATCTCCACAGAATGTCTTTGCTGTGATTATCATCTGGGACTGTACACTGTGGAAAAATATGACCCACAGCACTGTATTGCTTTCTCTTGGCCAGCTTTTATGATTGAATACAGACCTTCTTTAAACTGGAAGGAGAGAATCAGGGTATGTTTAATTATGGAGCAATCTGGGGGATGGCTTTGCTGCGCACTGGTGGTGGTTCTTGTGTTCTTTCTTAAAAAAAAATGTGGTGGGGAAAAGATGGGATGCTTTTGATTAACAGATTGTGAAGATGAAGATCAATCCTCTTATTTCTTACTTTAACATCAACTCCATTGGTGTCTCATTTTAACATCATTGCTGCTGCCGATTTTAAATGACTTTTGTTTGAACTTACACAAAATATTTTCATTTCAATTCGGAAGAAGTTCAAGGATGGCCAAGAAAACACAAAGCACAAGTGCAAAACAGTAACCAAGTGGAAACTTCATGACCATATGTCCTGCTACATGTACAGAGCTGGGAAAGACTTTGATCTTGGAGTCGTATGGCTAACCCACACTCCAGCTTTTCAGAATTAAATGGTTCAAGTCCCTGAAAAAATACAATGTAGACAATAGTGTTGCCATGCAAAGATGGTAGGACAGGATAGATTTTTATAGCAGAAATCAGTTGATAAAAGCCTGTGACTCATTAAACTGAGACTGTGGTGTGGGTTTGGATAGCAGGATATCTTGTGGGTCTGATTTTTTTTCTTCCTGCAGTAATCTGTAGTCTTGGAGGTGAGGTGGAAGTTGTTTTTCCTGACCGTTCAATAGTAGTGCTGCTCTTGATCCATGCTCCTTAAAACCGAGAAAGGACTATACTGGATTTTGATGCTTGGATCATCTAGTCCATTGATCTGGAAACTCTTAAACACTTGATCAGCATTTGATTAGGCTTCAGCATCCTCGGTCTGTATTGTCCTCATTACTTGTGATCTTCAACAAAAAAAAGCTTTTTTGTTTGGGTTTTAGTCTGACTTGAGACTGAATAAAAAGTTTCCCCACATCCAGAAAGTATGTGGATTAGGGCTAGTGCTCCAAAGCAATGTCAGCTCTTAAAAACTGTAAAAATAAACATGAAAAAAGGCAGAGTAACTCCCAGAAGTGTCTGTGCCATGAAAAACATTTCTGTATTTGCTCAGTCACTTGCTGTTTGAGAGAGTAACACCAGGACCTAAAGAGTGTTTACACAGCCCCTATGGAAGGTGCCATAGGAACTGGTGCCTGCCAAGGAGTTAATCTCCCTGAGATACCGCAAAAGCAAATTTTCTGCTCGGGCTGTCTGGCTTGGTTGTGTTACCTGTAGCAATCCTTTCCAGTGTAGCTGCGCTTTGCTCTTTTGTGATCTCCTCTCTCTGCTGCTGTATTTATTCAGCTTTCCTTAGTAACAAAATTAAATTCTTAGACTTTAGTTAATATTGTTCCAAATCTGAGTCTTGCTTTCAGGCTCTTGTCTCTGTTGTTCAGGAAGTCACTTAGATTGGATATTTGCTTCTTGTAAATCATGTGAATGATCTGAAACTGAACAGAAAGAACAAGCAGTTTAGAGTAACTGCAGCAGTTCATGTTCAGTTCTTGGATTTTTAAAAATACACCTGTTCTGGATGAAAGTCACACAGATTTGTTTTCAAGGTGGGTTTTCTGGAGACTGTATTTTCGGTGGCTCTGGAAGATTTTTCTGAATAGATTGACTTGAAGGGAACATTCAGATTTGGTGGAGGGTGCTGGTGTTAGGTGTGGTATCGGGGTTTTTTTTGGGGGGGTTTTTTATGTTCCCACCCTGAAATCTAGATGATTGAAGGAAGGCAGAGCTACTTATTAAAACAGAATGAAGCTTATGTACAGTGAAATCTATTTTAAATATTTTCAGATACTATAAAAAACCACCTACTCTCCTGGAGAAGGAAAGTCTTACTCTGCTGTTTTTTGAGTTTGCAGTTTTCGTGGGTACTGGGGATTTTTTTGGTTTTGTTGTTTTGGGTTTTTTTTTTTGTTTGTTTGTTTTTTTTCGTAGTGTGTTTTGGGGGTTTGTTTTTTTTTGCATAGTTCTGTTTCAAATCAGCCCCTGCTTTGAGGCATTTTTTTTCTTCAGAAATATGCTTTCATTCTTAAAAGCTGCTGTAGCAAAATAATAATTCACTCGGTGCAGTGATTTTTCTTAGCAAGTAAGTTGATCAGAAAATAAATCAAACAGGCAGACTGCAGCATCCTCATAGCTGTGTCAGGTTTATTACTGAAACTAAAAGCAAAGGAAATTTCCACCTGCTTTCTGGAAAGCATGGAGGAAATAAAAACCACCAAGCTGCCAAGTTAGCAGCTTTTCCAGCTATGTTGCTAAGGTCAGGAGCTTGGTTTTTGTGAAGTCTTCTACTGCCCTTAAATTTCTGTAGCCCTCTCTGCAGTCAGAGCCTAAAGTTCTGTTTGGACAATGAATACGTGCAGGACGTGAAACTTCTGGGTCTGCAAGAGATATGTGATAGTCTGTTATGTCACACACACAGATGCATCCCCACTCCCTTACCTGCATCTTGCACCCTCCTTGCAAGCCTTTCTCTGGTGGTTTCAGTATCCTGCAGCAGTGCCATACCACCAAATGAGCTTCTCTGCTGGCTGTTTTTAAGCCCCAGGGACATCATTGAAATACCTTCTTCTCCATATTGGCTTGTCCTTTCCTTGGGAGGTGCTTGGACACGCTTTTGGGCTGGACCTGTGCTTTCTGCTCCAACTCTGTTGCCTCCTGTGCTGCTTTGCTGATGGCCAGGCTGCAATTTCACTCTGTCCCCCATTATATCTTGGAAGAATTATATCCCTGTTATTCTTCTTTTTGATACCATCATGTTTTGCATGTATTTCCAGCTTCTCCTTGCATCAGGCTCTCTCATCTGCATGCTCTGTGTCTGGCCTTGCTGAACCACTATTAACCCGCGCACCACTAACCTGGTCATTGTTTGTCCCCCCATTACTCAGAGCACCCCAGGGGTGACCCCAGAGAGCAGGTTTCTGAGCCTCGCAGGGCATGCAGTGGTGACAGGCACACGTGCTTGCAGAGGGAGCACCGAGAAGCACCCTTGCCTTTGTCCAGCAGTGCAGCAAAACACAGGCATTCCACCTCGGAGGATCATCAGAGGTCTGCTCAACTGAGGGAAGTCAGCAGTGGCCATCAGCAGGAGTGGAAATCAGCCAGCCAGGGCAGGTCCAGGAGACATCCCAGCCCTGACCTGGAAAGAGAGGCTGAGCACAGCACCTATGACCACAGCAATAGCTGGGAGCAGCAGGAGAGGAGGGCAGCCAGCAGGGAGAAGGCTTGGAGACCTCTCAGTCTTGACCTGGAGTCAGAGCATGGACTTGCAGACCAGGTGCAGCACAGCAGAAAGCCAACAAAGCAAGAAAAGCGCCTTCCTCTTCTTGAGATGGAACTGGAGGCTGAGCAGGAGAGTTGGCATTGGGGTGGCAGCCCGCTGGTGCGCCCTGGAAAACACAGATCACGTCATCAGGGCCAGTTGCCACACAGGATGGTGCATGATGAGAAGTTCCATGATGCTGAATCTAGAGCTGATCGTAGAAGGGGTGAGGAGAGAGACTACAAAAAGTCAGGACACAGGAGACATTCCCCCTCCCCACATGCTGTGACCCAGGGGAAGGTTGGATACTGCCAGCGAGACTCAGGTAACCAAGTGATGGGGAAGGTGTACATACGTGTGGTGATGGACCTTTGTGTACCCCATCCTGGTGTCTGAAATCTCTGTTGTTTCTTCTGAAAAAGCTTATCTCTGATATCCACCTGCAGTGTGTACATTGTGAATCCTGCCCAGGGTTCTCCCTTATTTAGTGAGATTCTTTTTATCCGTTGATGTTCTTGCTCTGTTTATATCCTAATGTGTTCTGTGGCATCAGAGAGGAGGGGTAAGAAGGTATTGTTGGAAATGGTGCTCACATTATCCTATGTTTAATTAAAAAAAAAAAAAAAAAATCCAAACCAAAACCCCCACAAAAACAACCAACCAACAACCAGCTGTTTGGGTTTTTGTTGGGTTTTTTTTGTTTGTTTTTTTCTCCGTGATATAATTTGTGCTGTGGTCTCCTTGAAAAAAAGAAAAAAAAAGAACTAACAGAAAACCAAATGTTGTGGTTACACTTGTGTTCTGGGGTGCAGGTCTGTAAATGAAGACAGTTTGCTGAATTACTAACAAGCCAGCAATTTCCATCCCTTACTGAAAGCCATGCTGGCAACATAATCAATTCAGTTTGGGCAAAGTTCAGTAGTGGCACTAGGTGTCCAGCTGGGCTCTATTTATTAGATGCGATTCTTGTCAAATTCAGTACAAGTGGATTTTTCTGAGAAATGTGTACCTGTGTAGTTCTTGTTGTCCAATAACACCTGGGGTCTGATGGGCTTTAAAGATCCAGATCTATATTTCTGCTCTTAAAATCCCACTGGGGGTGAAGGTGACCTGTCTTTTAGTAGAAGTAGGCATTTAGAGATTTTTTTTGGGGTGGGTGGAAGGTATTAATCAGGTCTTTACATGCTATCAGTAGGTCATGATTTGCTCTGATACAGTGTATGTCCAAGTGACTCAGTATCCATCACATGAAGTCAAAATAGCCAGAAGGTCACATCCTCTTCCTGTGGGCCATGGTCATGGTGTGCTTCGTGTTCCCCTGAGTGTGGGCAGAAGTGATGTGCAAATAATGTTTATTGTTGTCTTCTGAGCAAATGAAGCCTGACACCAATCAGTGTGTGAAGAAAGCTCAGCCTCAGGTTGGCCAGCAAACAATTCCTGGAAATTTTTATTCTTCATAGAGCTAATGCTGTACAGGAGCCTGTTGGCCACATTGTTTTTCATTTCAGCATGTAAAACTGTGTTTGTTTGGAAGCATTCTGGATAATTTAACTCTGACCAAGCTGGTACATTTTTCCAGGGTTTGTGCTGTCTAGAGATTGCAACTCTTCACAGCTATGATTGATCAAAGTGTGCTGGGAGAGGCCAGGTCATATTCGTAAACACAACATGCCACAGCTGAAGCCATCTTATGCTAAGATGGTTTGCAAGAGGGGTGTTAATTGATTGAGATGATACATCAGTTCATTCCAATGAAACAAAAAGTAGAAACCCCCACATACCTTCCTTACTACCCATTGAAGAGGTGGTTTCCTATTCCATGGTTTTATTCTGCGTTGATGCATGAGGTCTCTGGCCCACTACAGTCTTTGGGATGCTTAGTGGAGTGTTATGGTAGTTTGTTGATAGATGCACACAAAATTTTTTGAGGTCAGTTGGTTACTTCATGTTACACCCCTTGGATTTAAAAGATGGAAAGGAAAAAATTTTATGGATTTGAGGTGGAAGAGATATAGGCATCTGGAGTATATACTTCAGGCATAAAGCAGAAAGCTCATTTAGATGTCTGAGATTTCTGAATAATACAGTTCAGACTGCAGATGGAAGGAGAAGGCATTCATTGTATGCGAGTGAAGTCATACATTTTATAACAGGGTTACAGTGAGACTCCTTTGGCCTGATGCAAATAGACCACGGAGAGACTCTCAGAATGCAACATTTTAAATCACTTGGAGATGGTTTAACTTTAAAATGAACAAACAGATAAAACTGTGCTCAGAGCACTTCCTGAACCTTGTATGAACTTCAACAGTGTTTACTTGGCTGTTTTCTAACTGAATTGTAGAATTCATGGGTCAGCTTAACAAAGAAATTGTCTGAAACCTTATGTGAGCCTTTCCCAGGCAACTTTGGCAGCCCATGTCATTTCTGTCAGCGTGTTCCCACTGCCTGGTTTTGCCAATGTATTTGTATCAGTGTATGTGCAGAGCATGAAAAAACATGATTCTTTTGCTAGGATCACTGTGTCAGCAAAGACTGCTTCAAAAGACATGGCCTCTTCTGCTATATAGTTGCATTTGTCATATAAGGACATGGTGTATCAGATACTTCTGTATGCATAGAAAAACCTCCCTAAGGTGCATTCTACACCTCAGCTAAAGGTACTGTCAAACCAGCTGCCTGGCAGGTACGCTGTCATGGTCTCTGGTTTTCTTGAATGGAGCTTTTGTGGGTGGCTCAGGAAATTGTGGGAATTTCCTTACCAAAGCATGTGGAAAATGATTGGGTTGATTGGTTTCTCTCTCAATTCTGTAGGCAGTAAGTTGAGGGGGATGACGCAAGGCATGTATGATACACCCCGAAGGGAACAGGAGTTGTCTGATGCAGAGATTGCTCGGAAGCTCCAGGAAGAAGAACTTCTGGTAAGTAGACACGATGCATTAGTGAGCTCGAAGGAACTAAGGTAGCCAGTGATGACAACTTTTTGTATGTGATAGTGACTTTAAGACCTAAAGTCTTGTTATTGTGCGTTCTGGTAATTACCTTTGTATCCTATACACACACATATGGAGTGACAGCTGGCATCCAGCCAGCAGAGTGTTATTTTTTTTAAATAAACACCCTAAAATTAAAAAAATCAAAGCAGAGTGATATTAAATTGGTAATTCCAGGTAGGTAATAAGGCCTTTACTCAGTATGGTCAGCCCAGTAGTGAGACGGGCCAGTGCCCATCTTTGAGAAAGAGGGGGCAGCAGGATGGGCAATGTGTTACAGTGTGGCCTGGCAGATAGATGAGGGCAAAACTCAGCTGAAAAGCTGAAATGACAGTTTGGTGCTTGGTGGAAGGAGAGTATTGAGGTGGCTAAATAAATCTGGAGACAATGGTAGCATATTTGTATGGGTACCTGCTTGCCCTGCTTACGCAAGTTAATGAGTATGAATAAATCAGAAGTGTTACTTTTTTGTCCTTTTGTCTCTTTTTTTTCCTTCCCCTCACCCCCTTTTTTTTTTCCTCAGGCTGACGAGGCAGATCAGAAGGCAGCTCAAGTAGCCCAAGATGAGGTGAGCAAGGTCAAATGTGTGCAGTATTCCTTTACTTGTGAAAACTGCTAAACAACACTTACCTCCTCTGACCCTCTACTTGTTCATTTCCTTCCTTGTTGGGGAAGCTCAGGGCTCCCCTGGGGTTTGCTCCTGGCTAGTTATCATGTATATGCTCAGGCTGGTTAAGGAGGAAGTTGCGTTGCCTGTTGCAACCATGGCAGAATAGGTAAGCTCATGGCTGTGCAAGAGTATCTGTTTTAACTCAGCCTGAAGGGAGACTATCAGAGATGCTATGAGATTAAACACACACACACCCTGCTCCATTGAAGGAAAAGGAATAAAGGGCAGAAAGGCTCTGCAAACACAGTTCTGGCAAATTGGGAATCCAGTGGGCATGCTGCATGTAGTCAGTCTTAATTCTGCCCTGTCACTTGATTTCTGATCATAGATGGATGGAATCCTGGCTTTGCACCCTTCTCATTCAGCAGCTGTCTGTTGGAGAGCGTTTAAATAACTCAGACCCACAAAAGCAGTAAAACTGTCTGACACACTCTCTATTTTCTCTTCTAGGAAATTGCCCGACTCTTGATGGCTGAGGAGAAAAAGGCTTACAAGAAAGGGAAGGAGAGAGAAAAGTCTTCCTTTGAAAGGAGGAGGCATGATCAAGACTGGAAGGTATGTCAAGCTTCAGGAGGTGCCACAAATGAAGTGTTATAATGTTATTCCCATTTTGAGAGGGGGACATGAGGGTTTGTGGTGAGCAAAAGGAATGATGCAGGCTTTTGCATCCAAAGTGTCTTGCTGCCTGTTATTCGGCTGCTTCCCAAGCTTTTTGGAGCCACCTGCTTGGCTAGATGCTCTTTTGCTTCAGCCTCAAGCAAGGTAAACCTTGGGCTATGGCCTTGGAGGATGGTGCTAGATGTCACAGCACCCTGTGGCCTTCCTAAAACACTGTCAGTCCTGGTACAGGACCTTGCTTCTGCTGAAATTCTGGCTGTGGCACTAAAAGCAGTAGTTTGTTCTGCTTGTGCACTGCAGGTATAAGGACAATGCAGCTGCTCCAATTGTCACTCTGCTTCATAATAAAATTGGCTCTATAATGAAAGTACTGCTTGTATCCAACCTGGATTTTTGTATGAGTAATATTGCAGAGGCTTTGCTATACAGGTGAGAGTGGGTTGTTTTAGCCAGTGCAGAAGGTGATAGGGAACAAATTTCACAGTCTGCACTGGTAAGGTGCTAAAGGGGATGTTGTGTTAATCATGGTGGCCGATTGGAAGTAGCTCTGATGTTTTCAGCCTCCTTACTGTGGTTGCAGCAGCACAGCTGCACGCATCTGGTCCCTCGTGCTCAGCTCAGCCATGTGCATAGTCATTACACACTGACTGCATTCAACTCTAGCTTTGGGACAGGTCCCCCAGCACTGTTTCATATTTAGAGCAAAAATTGAGTTTTGCCCAGTTTCATGTACTGGAAACTAGTCCTGATACTGCTATTTGCCCATGTCTGTCTGTGGTTAGTTGTGTGTATAAACTGAGCACAAAAGGACTGTGTGGAGCCCTGGCAGCCTCAGTGTACTTGTAAGGCACGCAGATGAGCTTCTTTCTCTTCTTCTTCCCATTAGCATGATACAAGCGAGTCCACGCGTTCAAGGTCAAAAGAAGGGCCTGAAACTCAGAGACACAAAGGTGAAAGGTCTTCAAGGTGAGATTGAACTGGCTGGTATAAATGGGGAAATGCAGGCAGAAGCTGAGTCTAGGGAGGAGTTGTGGGGCGACCAGCCTGACCCGCTCGTAAGGGGCTTGGTAGAGAGCAGAGGTTTTGGCACTGAAATGAGATGGAGGGCACTTGGCTTGTGAGGTGTTCAGTGACATGAGTCACTCGCTGTGTTCGTGGCATTTGTCCATATTGGTCTCCCTGTCTGGCACTGATGGAGATTGATGAGCTTGTGCAGTGACATTTGTTAAATGGCAGAGACACATTGAGAGGGTTAAAGAGCTTCTGGGGATGTGAAACCAAATGTCATCTCTGGGCATGGAGGAGTAGTCATGATTCATTTGCACAGCTGCTCTCTTGGGTCCTCGCTCCCTGTTAAGCCCTGTACACTGCTCCCACTCTTGCATGTGACACCATGCAGCAAGCAAGCATGTTGTGCTTTGGGGTACCTCATCACAGAGCAATGGGAATGTTCTGTAGCTGAATCAATTGGTACCCTGGCCTGGTGCTCTTCATAAGGGACTGAACCCTGAAAGTGACCCTGGTGGCTTTGATTTCCTGTCCAGATATGAGCCTAGAAAGTCTTGTTGAATTTGTGAAAGAGACAGCAAATGAGGTGCACAGGTGAAGGCTGAGAGAGATCGTATTAAAATAGTCTGGTGTTAAAACTGGGCAGGCATTAAAGACTTTTGAATGTTGCTCTTTTGAGTAAGGTTTGCAACAAACTTTGTCATGGAAGTTTTTTGTTTCCTGACAAATCAAAGCGGCCCATGAGAAGTAGTAAACACTGTGTATTTCTCACCACAGAAGACAGTAACCAGCTGTGTTTAGAGGAGCTGGTCTGCAGGTGGGAATTCCGGGCCAGAGACAGTTTGTATCAGAGTGACCAGGCAGCACGCTGTTTTGCCACACTGTTACGCCTTTGAGGCTTTTGTTACCCAGTACTACTTCTTCACTGTGCTTGGCAGGTCACAGCCTCTCCATGATGACTTTGAACACCCTGGGTACTACACAAGCCAGCCCAGCCCGTTGCGCCAGATCCCCAAACCTGAGCACTCTCCTAAAGGTAGGATCAAGCCCATAGCTGCCCCAGCACTTGGGTTATTGTGGGCTGTTTTCCTCAAATGAGCAGCCTGCAGGACAGGATGTTTGAAAGAGATGCTAAGAGAGAGGAGGAAAGGATATTATTGCCCCCAGCAGGCAAGTGATGCTAGTCAGTGGTTGAGTTGTACTTGCTGAGAACACTGCATGCTGAGAGACTAAAAAGCTGACTTGGTTTGCCTTGAGTCTGCCAAACTGCTCTCTGCATGTTCTCTGTGACCTCTTAATGATGAACGACTGTAAATCCAGGCAGCAGATGAAGGAGAAATAACATGAAGTCAATGATGAGATGGATTTTAGGTGACTCACTACTATCAAACAGTCTGATACAAGACAAAATCTCTCAGTATCACCTTGTCTGGTGAGCAGATAGGATGATTAGACAGAAGCTTGTCCTGAGAACACGCTCTTTTTGTTCCTGTAGCATCTCAGCACTGCACTGTTGGCTTGTTTCCTAAAATCACTTGGCCCAAGAGCAGTGTAGTTAGGGTCACCCCCATGGTTTTTAAACCTGAATGACAATTGTCTGAGTTATTTATAGAGTCTCTGGGGAAGGAAAGGGGAAGCCAGAGTTTGAGTCAATTGCCCAGATTTCTTCCAGCTCCACTGATTGTGATTGAAATGTGGACACTTCTCAAAATTTAAAGTTTGGGAAGCTTTTGTGTTCTGTGTCCATCAAAGAAGCATGAAAGCTGATGGCACTTTAATATAGAGTCTGTAAGCTGAGTGCTCATTCAGTTTTCTTTAGTGAGACTGTGTGATGTGGCTGCAACACTGTTCACAACCTAGAAGAAATACAAATGTCTGCCTGTCTTGTGGACCTATCCTTTTTCCTTTTGCTTGGGTAAGTGGAACTTGTTTCCCATTTTGGCATTTGGCTTTACCAGTACCGTGGAAGTCGCACAGACACCCAAGAGGGCAGGACAAGTAAAACATGGCTGCAGGTAGTATTTTCTTCACCAGGATCTATCCTTACAGGTTTTTTATTTATTTTTTTTCTTTCTTTCTGTTTTGCTTTCCAGGTTCCCGTAGGAAGCAGTAAACTGTGCTAACCTTTGCTTTGGTACTGACTCTTCTGTAGCAAACATTACTGGAATTGCCAGGCAACTTTCTTGATTCCTTACCCAATGGAAGGTCCACCCTCCACTCCCAGGATGTCCTCGTTAAGTGTCATCATATTAAGGAGCATTGTTCATTTCAATTTCTCACTCGTATGTGATGACTTAAGCAGTGCAGTATAATCTAGCCACCACTGAGCTGTGTGAATCAACTAGCTGACTTAACAGCTCCCTCTTACAGTCTTTTGGGGCTTTCTTTTTTATTTTTAAGCTTTGTCTGGGGCTTTGGCAAATAGGACACATAGAGATGCATTTACAACAGGGAGGAAAATCCAAGAAAGTAATTTGATTATGGTAATGCATCAGAATGTCAGAACTACAAGTTCTTTCCATATTAGGATGACTTAGCAAAGAGTTATACAAGGAAACATGTTTCCTCCTGTGCTGGATAAGACAGCTGAACCAACCTGACAGTCATGCTTGGAGGAAGGCGAGAGCATCTTCATAACGTGCACCAGCAAAAGCCAGAACCTGGAACTGGTGAAGAAGAAATTGCCTATGGAATAGCAACCTGGGTGGACTAACTAGACATTTAGCTCCAGGATATAGGATAGAACAATCAAAAGACAATTTCAGTGGATGTTAGACCTAGTATGCATAAGTCTTAAGACATGCCAGGGAGTTGATGAAGCTGTGAGTTGTGGATTGGGAATAATCATTCAGATTTAAATGCCTGAAGGGACCTCTATGGTCACCTGCTTTGAGCTTTTGTGTGATAGAAGCCAAGGAATTTCACTGAAGCCAAGTAGGAGCTACTGTAACTCCTAGCTCAGCTGCTGATGCACTTGCATACAGTAACTTGTGTTTGAACCTGCATATGTCTTGGAAACATGGGGCTGAAGGAAGGCCATATGGGCATTGACATTGGATCAAAAATCCACAATTACTGGCAACTTTGAGCTAGACATAGAGAACTGAACAGTCCACACAATGTCTGTGCTGACTGCCTCACCTCTACACTGCTCTGTAGACTCCTGTCGGGATAAAACTATTGCTGTGTAGGGCACAGCAGGGTCTGCAAGTTTAAGTTGTCTGTGTAAAATGCCCGGGACTTTGTGTATTGGCAGCATCCTGCTAGCTGTGTATCCTTGCTTCCAGACTGTGAGCTTGCTCACCTGCATCACTTGGAAGGTCTTGCTTGCTTGCAGCTTCTTCTCAGGAAATTTTCCAGCTAGTGGCTAGATTTTACTCTGCTTTCCTTGTTCCCTTTTCTTATTCCATCTCTGTCCATTCAGAAGTGTTAGTGTTGTTTTAAAGGACCCAGAAAAAGATCAACATAGACCCTATTTTTTTTCTTTTTGTTTATTAAGTTGGGCCACTGTGGCAACCTCATCTGCAAAGAGTTTATTCTGTAAAAATTTATTTTTGTATTTCATGTAGCAGTCAAAACTTTACTGCTGAAAATGCCTTTTTTTTTTTTTCTGTGGGTTTTTCCCCTCCATTGCCATCAGATTATTTATTGTTGTGAAATGGGTGCTTGGTGGGGTTTTGTGAACTAAATCTTTCTATAAACACCCCAGTCAAGGCCTTGCTGCTTGTATCATCTGGTGAACTTGTGAAAACTGGATGGGGAAAAGTCCTGCCAAATCAGAAAGTGGTTGTGCTTTATAGTTAATATACATGGGGTGACCCTACGCAAAAGGAAAGGGAAAATTGTCAACTGGGAATTCGGCCTTTCCTGGTCCTCTGTAGGTGGCTGTGATGGGCTTTCTTGCAATGCAGTTGTCTGATGTAACTTCTGTCTTACCCTAATTAGAAAAATCTTAAAGGCTCTGAGCCTGCTGCCATTTGAAGAAGCTGTTAATTCAGGAGGGATGTTTGAGAGTATCCAAGTTGTTGACTTCAGTGGGAGTGAGAGAAAATGATACAAGGGGAATGTCCAGTTAATTTTGTTTGTCTGAAGAACACCTCTATGTCTACTCTGTGGAGCCGTAAGATCTCCTTAATGACCTCCTCAGGCCATGGCACTAACAGTGAGAGCCAGAGTGAAGGATCCCAGGAGCATCTGCTACTTCCTTGGATAGCTTCAGGGAGTGCTGAATGTTTTATGGGCTGCTTTGCTCTATGGCCTCCCATAGTCTTTATCTTTTTATTTTTACTCCCTATCTTCATTCATTTGCTGCCCTTTGTGTTTCTCCTGTTTCATTTTTACATGGCCCTTGTGAAAAGGGGGGTCCTAAGGCTTTGTTAGAAAGGGCTAACACCTATCTAGAGAGAGAAATGCTAGGCATGGTAGATGAGGAAAGCATGTAGTAAATAGGGTATAAACAGAACAATTGTTTATCCAGTGTACCTTGTGGGCCTTATGTAGTCATGCAGGTTAGAGATTTCTTGACGCAAAGGTTACAGCTGGACTTGCATGTTTAGTAACCACATTTGGAAGGCAGATACCATGGTCCCATTAACGTCGATAGGAGTTGAGTGAAGTTCATGGATGAACAAGGACCCAACTCATCTTGGGGCTCAGCAGCCACAGTTCTGCAGCTTACATAGGCAAGATGCAAAATCAGCACCTTGCGCATGCATCCCCGGAAAGAGGCACAGTGAAGCTGATCTCTTAAAAAGAAACAATTGGAGCAATATTTCCTTTCTATGACAGAAAAATGTTTAACTTTATTTTTAACTTGTCTTCTTCTGCTAAGTTTTAGTAGCTCTGCCTATGGGTTTGCTCTGGATTTAATAGCATGTCAAAGCCCTTGCTTGGACCCCTGCCCAGGTCATTCAGGTCTTGCATCCCTTTCTGAGTCTGCATTAGCAATGCAATAGGCACCATGTGGAAAATTCATCACCGTGAAATCCTGGCACTTCCTAATCTTCACAGTAGGCACATCTCACCAGCAAGAGCTCTTGCCACCTCTTCACCTCCGTCCAAAGCACAATGGTCTGCAGAAGAGAGGTTGGGTGAACCAGAGTGATCGTGCCTTATATGCAGGGATACTCGATGTCTTCAGGAGGCTGATCTGAGTCACCTTGCTATGAAACACTGTCTTAATGTGGACTGTACAGCTTCCTGCAGGGAGAAGCAGTTGTCATCACATGATAGATCCAACAGGTTAATCTCGTCTTTTTTTTTTAAAAGGACTTCATGGTTTTGAGCTTAGTGGTGTGGGGAAAATATCAGCTGTTAGGGAACAGATGAAGTCTCATCATCGAATTTCTCCTCCTGGGGAGGAAGGATAGAAGTTACAAATGCTGCAGTCTACTTCACTCTAAAAGGGAGCTTGAACCACAACAACAGTATTTTTATATCTCTGCATTTCCACTGGTCAGGATTTGAATCAGGACT